AAAGATTCCTCACCAAGTGCTCGAGGTTTCTCAAGATGTCAATGTTCGATTCTCTGCTTGAAAGGCATTTCACCGGATCTGCCTGCATCATCAGCTATGGAAAGGGGAGGAGCGTACACGGAAAGCGGAGAGTTTGTTGCACATGTTTGTGTAATCGTTTTGTTGATCGCAGTCAGTCTGTAGACGCAGAAGAGGAGTGAAGTTGACCCCTCTCGTGACCATGATGGGGAGGATCTTGGATCGCAGCAGCCGTCAACAGGCTGGGGGGGAGGAGGAGCAGGTGGGCTCGAGGGTGAAGGACTTTCATGCGCTGGCATCGCACTACGGCAAGCATGAGCAGGAGAGCATGGTCGGCTTCACGCATGTTGCTCTGTCGCTGAGGGAGTACATGATGGGAGACAGGAAGGCGAAGGAGGAAGAGGAGGAGGAGGAGGATGGTGGTGGTCTGAACATGCGGCAAGTGGTTGAGGACATCTGCCGTCTCTCCTCCAACTGCTACACGATCGTGGACGAGGAGGAGAGGGCGGTGGGGATCGGTTTGTTCCCTGTCGCTGCGCTGATGAACCACTCCTGCTCCCCTCATGCGTGCAGTCGTTCCGGGGGAGGAGCATGCAGCTGCGAGCTCTGAAGGACATCGAGGAAGGAGAGGAGTTGTCGCTCTCCTACGTTGACCCGGCGGAGCCGCTGGCCGTGCGCCAGGAGGAGCTGAGGAGAAGGTACTTTTTCTCCTGCTCCTGCTTCCTCTGCGCTGGGGAGGGAGCCAAGGCCGAAGACGAGGAGAAGACAAGAGTTCTTGCAGGCAGCAGCAGGGAGGCGGAGAAGAGGGTCGATGGCCTGCTGAGGATGGCGAGGGAGGCGGCAGGCGCGCCTGCTCGGCCGGAGACCGTGCTCGAGCAGCAGCTGGATGCGATCAAGGCAGCTGAGCTCGTGCTGGGACCTCATAATGTCAAACTCCTGCGAGCTCGAGAGGAGGCGCTCGCCGTTTCCATCGAGGTATGAGGAGAGGGAGGAGGAGAGTGAGGAGACGGGAGAAGAGGAACAGAATTGGGAGACGGGGAGAAGGAGGAGGAGGAGGAGGGAAGGGAACGAGGCGAGATAAAGGAAGAGATGATATGAAACCAGAGCATTTGAGACGAGACGAGACGAGACGGACGAGAGGAGATGAGAGGAGAAAGGTACTTAGGCTAGTAGGAAGTGTTGAGAACCAGGCGGTGGGAGACAAACATAAGGAGCAGCAGCGAGGAGGAGGCAAGGTGGGCACGGGAGGAGCAAGTAACAGGAGAGCAGGTGCAGAGCTGGGGAGTCGCAGACGAGCTCAGCAGTCGCATCATCGAGAGCTACAGGAGGCTGTATCCCCCTGGCTTCCCCGTGGTAGGGGTGCAGCTGGCGATGCACGGCAAGATCAAGATGCAGCTCAACGGTGAGGAGAGGAGGAGGGTGAGAGGGACGAGGACAGGAGGAACAGGGGAGCAGGAGCAGGAGAGCAGGACAAGGAGGATGGGTTCTCACTTGCCAGCAGACATCCAGCATGCTCGCGTGCTGCTGAGCGAGGGGATCGACATCCTGCGGAGGGCTCGAGGGGAGAAGAGTAGGATGATGGAGGAGGCCAAGAGTTTGCTGCAGGAGATCGAGTGGGAGGCTCACGGCTACGGGGGCTTTTGCGAGGAGATGAGCAAGAATAGTGCAGAGAGGAGGAGGAGGAGGAGGAGGAGGAGGAGGAGGAGGAGGAGGAGGAAGGAGGAGGAGGAGGAGGAGGAGGAGGAGGAGGAGGAGGAA